AGCACCCAGGGCGCTATTAAAATTAGAAATGGGGGCTCTTTTTAGAAGTTTGGTGAAAAAATTGGATACAATTGGATTTTGGATACAAAAGAAAAGTCTGTGCGTATTATACACGACAAACATATTTTTCCAGAATTGAATTATGGGTGCCTATAACACAAGAGTGTGAATTATACACGAATAAATAAGTCTTATGTATTAATCAATCAGAGGGGGTGCCAATTGGGATGGTTCCCCAGCCAATGTATTAGCAAATATCGCCATGGGCGCTTATTAGAGCGGGGCGTTATTACGTCAAATACGGTAATTGACACTCGACAGCATTTTTGTTGCAATTTCTTCGTACTATGTTCACATTCACTCTCTATCTTGAAATACATTCCGTATGAAGAACATAAGAAGTGTATTTATGTCAATTTATTAGTGACTGCAGCTTATGCAATACCGTAGATGAAATATTAGGCGCCATGTTTCTAATTACTGCCGGGCCTGCATTATTCACGGTGTTTGGAAGGGCGGGAGGGAATCTGGTACTCCTGCCAACACCTGTCAAAGTTCTTCAGTAGCTGCTCAGTTACAATACAGAGCTCTATCAATAATTCAAATATATATCCTTTGCTCATGATTAAAAAGTGTCAGACTTCTACATGATTAATACTGCAATACAATATATGGCATCATCTATTGTTAATTTAATCACAGCATATGATCAATACATGGTCAGATATCATCCAAATAATGATTAATATATTTTTGCTCTATCATACAATAACACAAATATTTGTATAGAATTTAGACTTGGTAACATCAAGCTACTCAAGGTAAATATTCACAATAACAATCCTTGTTAGTTAACAAAGTGAAGTGCTACCATCAAGTCTACAATAATTATTTATTTGTAGGTTTTTGGGATCATAAGTGGAATGCTGCCTGCAAATATATTTTTGTATATTTCTTTGTTAAAATCAAAATAAAATGCTTTCGAAATAGCAAACATTAATTTACACCATTTGGCCTTACTGTGGCCTAATCACAACTGTAAAGATGATCAATTTCTTTATATAATTGTGGCAACATCTTACTGTATTATTCTACCATTATTATCTACATATTATACAATGTTAATCCATGAAAAACAGTGACCTTTTTAGCCTCATGGTAAAATTACCTTAAATAGATGTAGCAGTGATTCTGACTGACATATGTGATTCTTTTGCAGCACTTTAATGTTTGGTGTTACCGTATTCGACGTAATAAGCCCCCAGGGCGCTCTCAAAATTAGAAATAGGGGGCTCTTATTAGAATATTATTTTAGTGATAAAAAACAGAGTTAAATGGTAAATTTCATGGTTTATGCTGACAGCCTGAAATGTTTTTTCACAACAGATATATTTTTCCAGAATTTAATTGCCCATAATTAAGTGTGCATATAACAGATGAGTGCGTATTTTAAGCGAATATATAAGTCTTGTGTACCTTGATCAATTGGAAGGGGTGCTAATTAGGATTGTTCACTGGCCAATTTATTAGCGAATATCGCCGTGGGGCGCTTATTACATCGAATACGGTATTTTATAGAAATATCCCTTCTCCATCTCAGAAACCATCTAGTTACCACATCCCTGTGGTTTTGCTTCATCTGAATACTCAATGAGTAAAAACAATGGAAATAATATATACAAACAAATAATACAAATATTTACAATTAAAAATATCCATCACTGTATCATGCTGGAGTGTACAAATGAACACGAGACTGTCTGACGTTCACTCATCCCTATGTCAAACATTGGCAGTTGTGTTAAGACAATTACACACACAATATTGTGACCAGCCAGGAGATAAGGGACCTTATCGGTGAAAAAAATCACATTTTGACTTTTTATTATGTTCTTTTACTGCATCTTCGGAAAACAAAACTACAATTCACAAACTTCAGTTCATATTTATTACAGTGATACATGACTTCAAACATTTGGACTCATTTTCCGACATATCTGTTTATGTAATAATAAGTTTTCAGACATAATGTCTGATGAATTAATTGTAGATAGTATGCTGAAAGGTTTCTAAATAATGTTTTTTTTACAATACAAACTAAAAAGAGAAAAATACGATTTTTTTTGTAGAGTCTGTATCATAGTGATCTTCACTGAAGTAAGTTGACGACAAACGTCTTTATGACGTCACAGCACAATTGTATCCTTGCACCAATAGTCCCTCTTCTCCTAGTGGGTCACATTTAATGTTATTTTAAGTTATGGGCACAGATAAGATATTGGGAGTGAGTGAGTATGGTTTTACGTGGCGTTTAGCAATACTCCAGCGATATCACGGCAGGGAATACAGCGTGAAGAGGAAACGCTCAAACCACTTGGCTACCCCGTCGCCCCAAATTATCTAGACTTTAGAGGGGTAGTAATGGGACATTTTTGAAGAAGTTTGTTACTGGAATGATAAAACACTTCTCTACCATGTTATTTTTCAGGCATAACATGCTGAATTATTCTCTCCCAAGAGAAATGTATCTCTTGTTTAGTTGCCTCTAAGAGTTTTTGAAAGCATCACTTAATGAACAAACACTCTATTCACCAAGCAAACAGTGATATGTAACAATGACACACTGTTTTATTTAGATAAATATACTTGCGGTAATCAATAAGGAAAAACAGGGCTTATGTCCGTTATCTTAAGTTTCATGAATTTCTCATAGCGATGAATGTGCTGGAATATTGATCAGGGTATATGGTTTGAGATTTTCTGATGGTACTTAGGGTAAGCGCTTAATCATCACAAGATGAATACAAAATTAATGAATTCACGCATCTACATTCAGAGCTAGATAAAACTAATTTTTCTACCTGCAATGTCATGTCACAAATAATCCCATGGTATTGATGGCCATAAATTATGTAAGTGATCTAAGTACAAATGACTCCCTCTCATGAAACACTCTCCTTTCAAACACCTTTCAACTATACTTAGCACGAGATGAAATTGACGAGATTACTTTTTGTGTGTAATTGCGACTTTGAAAACCAATCACTTTTGAAAATAAACTTAATTTTCTGCTAGTTTGGTTTCAAGCATCTTAAATCATACACATCCTGATGAAAGTTTCAATACTGAGATCAAATTTGCTAAAAGTGTTAATTTTTCAAGTAAGATCAGTGTTCACCTAAAACAATAAAGTAGTGATTTTGGCACAAAAGACATCTAAGAATTTGACAATGTATAAAATCAGCACCATTGGTATAGTTTCCTGTGCTGTGGAGACGAATTAAGCTGTAAAAGTTCTTCTCTCCAAGATGTAAAACTAATGATAACGTCTGCATGAAAACAAATCCTATATGAAACGTGTAGGTCTGGTTGAAAGCCTCCATTAGACTTACTGCTACACTATCCAAGCTAGGTCAGGCCAATTTCATTATTTTGTTTTCAAAATTTGAATGTCATTTTGAAGCCATTTCCACCAAAATATATTACCAAAGTATGTAAAGGGGAATAATCCTGTCTTGAAAAACCTGTTATCTCAAACTTTACGTTTCATTTACATGAATTTTTGGTCTCTTTTGCATGCTCTTAACTGAAGCAAAAGGATAACATTCACCTACTCACATACAAACACAATACAAAATAACTCAATAAATGTCAGTGTGTCCTATGCAAGAAATGGGCAATGGGGGAAGTTATGTACCATGTAGACATTGATTTCTTTTCTAAAAAGTGTTAATTACTCCCCACCCTCTATTACTTATATTTAGGACGTAACAATCATAAAAAATAGTAAGAGTTGGGATGAGATCGTACATGTAAAACCCTTTTTTCCTGTCCTAAAGTATGAAACATATATTACACAGACACTCAGGGTTTGGGCCAGATATATACACGCAAACACACCCATAGCAGTGTTGGACAATATTAGTAAATAACCTAGCTTGGATAGAAATGGTAGCAGCTGAAAATCATAGATGATTATTTATATATACTGTATTCGACGTAATAAGCGCCCACGGCGATAATTGCTAACATTGACTAGTGAACAATCCCAATTAGCACCCCTTCCGATTGATCAATGTACAAAAGACTTATTTATTCACGTATAATACGCACTTGTGTGTTATATGCACCCTTAATTATGGGCAATGAATTTCTGGAAAAATATATCCATCGTACATAAACATTTCAGGCTGTCAGCATAAACCACGAAATTTATCTTTCAACTCTGTTTTTTCCACCAAAATCATATTCTAATAAGAGCCCCCTATTTCTAATTTTGAGAGTGCTCTGGGCGCTTATTAAGTCGAATACGGTACTCTTGAACTAGTCAGCAAGTTTGGTGACAATATGTAGAATATGTTGCTTAATGGACTAATACTATACAAAACATGTTAAAGAACACCCACAATTGGATGGCTGTGTTACAGATTAACTATAGTCATATGAAAAAATCAGGTGTTTTTTAACTTCTTTTGAGTAGTATATATCACACCCAGGAAAATACCAAGCATTTAATGCAAACTAATATCCTCTCAGTAAGAAGCACAAGACAACCACGGATGCTCTCATTCTATACTGCCCCACTTACGACAGGGATAAATTTTTTTAGTGATATTGTTTTTGCATGACACGCAAAACTGATTCTCATGTCATGTGTATATTTAAATAGTGTGACTTATCTGATTATTCCTATCAAAAGTTGAGTGGTATATAAATTACTAGATCACTAAACGCATACGCCGTGGTGGTATCAAACACAAGAAACTCCTAACATACTAACAATTGTCTGTCTAACTAGGCTTCTATTTAAACTGTGTCATATGAACAAAAGGACCTGATATCGGATAGTGGGTAATGTTTCCATCGAGCAGAATCCATACATGCATCCATCCTTTGCATTTAGAACTGAAAAAATACCCAAGCCGTTTGACTTTCTGGAATTTTGTTGAAACCTAACAATCCACTGTTTTGGAGTATCACTGAAATGATAACACTGTATAGAAAATAAATAATGATCTGTATTTCTATCTGCATGAATACAGTTATTGTTAAAAGGACAGCACTTATGCATGATTTATGTCATCACTGGAGTCTTATGCTTGACCTAGTGCTTACACTGGTGGAAATGTGAGAACAAAGTCACTGACAGGCATTCGTACCATATCTGTCTATGAAGTCTATGCTTGTTGGGTGTAGATGCCTTTTGTTTCCAGCCTGTCCAATCCTTTCACAAGACTACCACCGTATATGGTATGTTACAATTTCCATGGGAGATAACTCTAAAGGAGAATGAAGATCAACAGTGGCTTTGTCATAAAGATGGGTGAGAGTTGTCTCCCTTAGAGACCCCACTGGAAAGTCCTTGAGCAATGATGCAAGAGACACAGACCTGTCAGTCACAGCACATTGCAACCCTCTAGCAGGGAAATCACAGTTGTAACCACGGCGATGTAAAATCAAACTTGTACCATTGTAGGCCAGGTTTGCTGTGGAGAGACTACGGAAACTAACCACTGTCGTGTCACAGGGCAGTGCTGCTCCCAATGGCAGCAGAGTTCGCTGAAATATGTCGGAATCTACAAGACTGAAGTAAATTATGACTGGCTGCTGGAGGATGTCGTTTAAGGAAATGCTGAGCAGCGATGGTAGTGCATAGTGGGCATCTGGCTGTTTGGAAATATGGTTCCGCTTCTCAAGGAGCAACAAGAAATCCAATGTAACCTCCTTGATATCCTCAATCGACTCCTGAAGTCCACGGTTGTCATCGTAGATGGTCTGCCTGTCTAGCATAACCTCCAGCCAACCAGATTCCAGAGCAGCTACACCATGCGACTGACTGGAGTGTAACGTCAGCCTTCGATGTTCATCCTCTAAGAATGCTGTCGAGGTCATCGGGTAGTAGTTAGCCTCAATGCGAACATTTTTATTTGTTTTGCGTTTGATCATTTGGAATCCATTTTGGTCCGTGTAGTATGATGAGTCTTTGTTATGAATGTCTGTTTTCATTCTCATAATGATTTCCTTCTCCTTCAACATTTTGATGTTGATGGTGTTGGCGATGCGGACTCCGGTCGCCTGCAGCTCGGGGTGGCTGTACAGTTGGACTGAATGCTGCAGGTACGGCTGAAATAGTACCTCCAGTCTCGACATCAGAGGTCCTTCAATCACACGAATAACTGGAATGTTGTTGATGTAGAATGCAGGTTTGGCCTCACTAGAAGGATAGAAAAGATAGGCGCCACTGCCCTGGGATTTATAGGCTAAAAACTCCAGACCAATATCGGTCTTGTTGCCTGTGGCTTTTTCGATTATGTATTGCAGTCCTCCCCTGGTGGGTTCAAACACAAGCTTAATATTCTCATTCTCCATCACTATTGGGTTAGTGCTGTCTTTCTTGGGCCTTGCCTGGGGAAATCTGAGGTCTGGTGGTACTATAAGAGTCTCAGTATTATACACAGATATCTTGGCTGGGAAGACATTGTCACGATCAAATTCATCTGTTTTGAATAACATGAAAGGTGTTATACTAAATGGCGCCAACTCAGCAATAAACACCACCTCAAATTTCATATTTGAGACAATTAAGCTGTCATCCCATATTGGATTTATCTGGCAAGGGATCACATGCAACTTATCATTTTTAACGATCAGATGATCCGTGTTGACATGGAGATGGATGACTTCTCTCCTGTACTGGGCGAGAGGGTTGAACAGGACTACCCTGGAGCCCTCCTCCCCCACCTCAATGTTCTGCTTCCTGGGCTGCTCATTGAAGTTCCGCCTCACTGTTTCTGGGCGGAACACAAGTGGTGTTTCCACCTTGCCCTGCGACAGCAGCGACTGGATCGTCATCTGCATCACCGACTGCGTGGCATTGTAAGCCTGAAGGAGCTGAGTTTCATAATCCACAACCACATATTCCTTGGAGGTTCCTGTGATGGCATCATGATGAAGAAACAATCCCAGACTTCTGCGAGCCTGTTGTAAGAAAGTGGCGTACTTGAAGTAATGATCTCTAGTTGGCATCCTCCACTTTTTGAAATATGCATACGCCACAGTGTTCAGTGTGTCTGCAGCCTGGATATGGTTCTGGACGTCCCGGGAAAACTTCTTGTCAAAAGGTCTTGTAGTGTAGTAACCTGTCCAGTACTCATTGTTCCTGTCAGAATAGGGGAAGAAATCCCCGCTCAGGACAGGGAGATCTTTATTCTTCTTGAAAAACATCTTGTTTTTCTGCTCCTTCATGTGATCAAAGTAGTCCTTGAGGGTTCCGAATCTCACATTAATGTTCCAGTCTCTTCTATTGTTCATATAGTTCATAAGCTTCCCATAGTTTGTGTACTGTTGGTCCCACTCAACCTCGTAGTCGAAGCGGAAGTCGTCCCCCAGAGGGACAAGGATAGTGTTGTATTTATAAAGGTAGGACTTTTTGCGATATTGTTCATACAAATATTTGGCTTGTTTTTCAAGGTTGTCAGAGGTAATACCCTTTGCTCTGCTCTCAGAGAATTCATTTGGGACCTGCCTGAAGTCAAACAGTAAGCAAATGAACCTATTTGGTCCACAGGTGTATTTGATGCTGTACAACATGTAGGGCATGACGTGACACAGGATGTCACTGCTTCCCTTTGTGTCCCAGTACTGTCGCCACATGAACTCAAGACTGTTTTTGGATATGAGAGATCCTTTGATTGCCTGATGCACTCTCTGAATCACCATATTCTCCATGCCAGCCTTCTTCCACAGATACGGCATAGTCCCAGAATATCCGAATGGGTCAATTGACCAACTGTTCTCGGGTTTCACCCCCAGGTTCTCCCACATCCACTGATGTCCCTCCAGAAGCTGATCGATCACAGACACATAGTGGGTGGATGCTTCATCAGGCATCACCCATCCACCCAGGACAATCTCCAGCTGCCCACGACGGACCAGGCGGCGCACGTGCACTTTCACAGCGTCCTCCAGCTCGTTCCACCACATACTGAAGTACACTGTCTCTGCCCAAATGAAGGTCATGTTGGGGTAGTCGGTCAGTTTGTTGACCATGTTGGTAAGAATGTGCTTGGTCTGGTCCACATAGTACTCGTCTACAGTCTTCAGCCATCCTGGATCGTTGTGCGAGTGGGGCACCACAATCACCTCAAGATGTTCTAGATCATGGTCCACTCGGCTGGGGAAGTCAGGAGGTGCTGTCGGCATCTCATAGGACCCGTCAGGGTGCAAGTTGAAGTCTGTCTGCTGGTACACGTCAAATGTAGAGATGTTTGAACTGGATTTGGCTGTCTGTTGAAAGTGACACATGCTGGCGTCCTGTTCCAAGGAGAAGTGTTTGACTGGCCAGTAGTTGGGCTCCACCAGTCGTGCATGGTTGATGTGGGGGTTCTCGTACAGGCCATCGTCAGTGTAGTAGTACAGAACTGTAAGGGTTATGAATGCAGAGCTGCATAGGATCACAAGTCGCTGCCAAAACTTCATCCTGGAACAATCTTGTTGTGGGTGACGGCCAGCCTCTTACACATCTTAGCCTCCACCCGCCTCCCTCATATAGTCACTGGGCAGTGCTGCCTGGAAACAGAAGCACATTCATTAGGCTTACAGAAAACAGTACATAAACACACAAACACAACCTGTCATTGAGTCGAGGTAGGTGGAGTTGAGTGGGGTGAGGCATGGTGAGGCATGGTGGGTTGGGGTGAGGCATAGTGTGTTGGGTGAGGCATGGTGTGTTGGGGTGAGGCATGGTGGGTTGGGGTGAGGCATGGTGGGGCATGGTGGGTTGGGGTGAGGCATGATGGGGAAGGGTGGGTTGGGGTGTGGCAGGGTGGGTAGGGGTGAGGCAGGATGTGGCAGGGTGGGTAGGGGTGAGGCATGGTGGGTTGGGGTGAGGCATGATGGGTCAGGGTGGGTAGGGGTGAGGCAGGGTGAGGCAGGGTGGGTTTGGGTGAGGCAGGATGGGTAGGGGTGAGGCAGGATGGGTAGGGGTGAGGCAGGGTGGGTTTGGGTGAGGCAGGATGAGTCAGGGTGGGTAGGGGTGAGGCAGGGTGAGGCAGGCTGGGTTGGGGCAGGGTGTGTAGGGGTGAGGCATGATGGGGCAGGATGGGTTGGGGTGAGGCATGATGGGGCAGGGTGGGTTGGGGTGTGGCAGGGTGGGTAGGGGTAAGGCAGGGTGTGGCAGGGTGGGTAGGGGTGTGACAGGGTGGGTTGGCAAGAGGCAGGATGGGGCAGGGTGGGTTGGGGCAGGGTGTGTAGGGGTGAGGCAGGATGGGGCAGGGCGGGTTGGGGCAGGGTGTGTAGGGGTGAGGCAGGGTGGGTTGGGGTGAGGCAGTTAACATGTGACATTTCTATTTACCGACTATTTTGTGAAAAATTGATAAATGTGAATGAGGGGGGAAAATATAATATAAAAGATATTCAGATAAATATTGCTGTTCAAATGGTATACATTATATATCTATATCTATCTACATCTACATCTGCATCTATATATATATGGCTATGTGTGCAGTGGTAGCTGAGCTTGTCTCATGGTTTAACCTATTGTAACCTGATCAGATAAACTATTTATTGCAATAAGCATAAATTTCATTTTGTAGTACAGATTTCTTTTTGTAGAGCCACTACTTATATAATAATCACTTATTCAACTTGCTTCAAAAGGTGTTTCTTTTCACTTTTGCTTGTTGAAATTATGGCATGCTTTGCTACTCGTTAAATTTCAAATAGTGAATTAAACTAAACTGAGCTGCAGCAATGGCTGAAAAGACAGAAACATAATCTGTGGCTCTGATGACAACAGACAAAAACAGATAAATGCCATTCTCAAGGCACCAAACAGAACAGTTTATAAAAGTCATGCAACTTAAAAGCTGCCTTCTCTAGAATTCTGATTTTATCAATATTACCGTACCACCAAATCTATCGCCTTCTCTAGAATCCCAAGTCAAATTACCAACTACCAGATCTATCGCCTTCTCTAGAATCCCAAGTCATCTCAATATTACCTTACCACCAAATCTATCGCCTTCTCTAGAATCCCAAGTCAAATTACCAACTACCAAATCTATCGCCTTCTCTAGAATCCCAAGTCATCTCAATATTACCGTACCACCAAATCTATCGCCTTCTTTAGAATCCCAAGTCATCTCAATATTACCTTACCACCAAATCTATCGCCTTCTCTAGAATCCCAAGTCAAATTACCAACTACCAAATCTATCGCCTTCTCTAGAATCCCAAGTCATCTCAATATGACTGTACAACCAAATCTATCGCCTTCTCTAGAATCCCAAGTCAAATTACCAACTACCAAATCTATCGCCTTCTCTAGAATCCCAAGTCATCTCAATATTACTGTACAACCAAATCTATCGCCTTCTCTAAATCCCAAGTCAAATTACCAACTACCAAATCTATCAACTTCTCCTCCTGTGATTACAACATACCTGTGAAATTCTGACTTCCATGTTAGGACCTGTTTTAATACTTTATTGTTCACAACAGCTGCCAATGCTAGCTTGGATAACATCACAAATATGTAAAATGGCTTTTATGAACAAATATTGTAAATGAAAGATAAACAGATATTTTTCTAATCAGTCCTGTGGCTGACAAAGGGTCCTGTTTGGTCCTCGGTATATAATTAGTTAATAAATGAGGACAGTCTTTACAAATCATTATGAAAAGTATCAGTAGATAATATCAGTGAGAATTAGCCTATGTTCATTTCAATGCTTGCATGTTTAGGATTTACAAAACTATCAAATTAAAGGTATGGTGAAAATGTCATAAAGATTTTTTTCAGAAGTTTTTCAGAAAGCATATTTCTAATATTTGAACATTAACAGGCTTTAACCAAATCTTATTTATGAAGATAGAGCCAGCATGTAAAACAATCCATCTTGGGTCACAGACATTCTTAGTTTTTCCCTTCAAGTTTGAAAAATCTGCCTTTACCACTCATTTCAGTCATTTGAACACGGCTAAATAATTTCAAACTAATATTTCAAAGTTTTCCACAACCTTAAAAGTGGACATTTTGAGTGAGCCCAAAAGGGGCCTTAACCTAGTTCGTCCCTTCCAAAATTTCACATCTTCGCTAAATGTAATTTCTCCTTTAGTTCTCGGCGACAGATGACTAAATCTCAGTTCATGTTGATAGAACAAAACCCATATACTTCTGTATGCCATGGCAGATTAACTAAATCTCGGTTCATGTTGATAGAACAAAACCCATATACTTCTGTATGCCATGGCAGATTAACTAAATCTCAGTTCATGTTGATAGAACAAAACCCATATACTTCTGTATGCCATGGCAGATTAACTAAATCTCGGTTCATGTTGATAGAACAAAACCCATATACTTCTGTATGCCATGGCAGATTAACTAAATCTCGGTTCATGTTGATAGAACAAAACCCATATACTTCTGTATGCCATGGCAGATTAACTAAATCTCGGTTCATGTTGATAGAACAAAACCCATATACTTCTGTATGCCATGGCAGATTAACTAAATCTCGGTTCATGTTGATAGAACAAAACCCATATACTTCTGTATGCCATGGCAGATTAACTAAATCTCGGTTCATGTTAATAGAACAAAACCCATATACTTCTGTATGCCATGGCAGATTAACTAAATCATGGTTCATGTTGATAGAACAAAACCCATATACTTCTGTATGCCATGGCAGATTAACTAAATCTTGGTTCATGTTGATAGAACAAAACCCATATACTTCCGTATGCCATGGCAGATTAACTAAATCTCAGTTCATGTTGATAGAACAAAACCCATATACTTCTGTATGCCATGGCAGATTAACTAAATCTCGGTTCATGTTGATAGAACAAAACCCATATACTTCTGTATGCCATGGCAGATTAACTAACAGTCATAGGAAAAATATTGTGTGTTTTTTAACTTCTTTTGAGTTGTATATAAATAAATATTCTTTGCGAATAACAGTTCATGATCAAACAGATGTAGAATGCTGTAATTTCTTTTTAAATAATAAAATATGCACAGACTTTTCTGTAAATAGACAGAAATACACGTCATATACCGTATCCATATTAGAGGATGATTATGAAGATTACTTGGTTAAGATTGGCCTAGATGTTTGTGAGGTGGGACTTTTTGGAGCAGAGCATTTAATATGGGAAATACAGTATGTTTATTTGATAATTATTTCATTGTTTCAAAAGATTGTGTTCCTTGAAATTCATACACAATGTATAACCGTGAATGTCAGTGACATAAATATGCAAATGGCAGACAAAGGAAAAGTTGGACTCAAATTTGGAAGCCTGCATGTCAGGTCAAACCTCTTTCACACCAACTACAGTTGACACATACATCTCACTAGAAACAAGAGTGAATCTTTTTATCAATGGCTAAATCATTCCCATAAAACATTAAGACACAAACTGTGAACAATCCATTAATCTTTGCCAGCATGTTAATCTCCTTTCAGAAGGGTTTAAATAATGCATTTAACACTGGAAATGGGAGCCAAAAATATGCTTTATCCATAAATCTGCAGGAGAATCAATGTTCTGTGGCATTTAAGCATAGGTACAAATGATGTTCACAAAATTAGACGGAGCAGTGAAGGTAGCCTGTTGGACCCATGCATGACATATCTAAGCAATGAATTATAGAGGTTAGTTTCGTTTTTTCACAAATTTTGATTTCTACCCTTGTGAGACACATTGGTCATTAAAAGAATAAAACAAGTACACAAGTAAAACAAGTCACAGTATGGCATTTATGATATATGTATCCATTCTCTGTCAACTAAAGTTCGTTACAAGGAGTCAATAGCGGTAATCTGACCGTGGTTGCTGTTAATTACGGTGAGTTGTGCGATCTTCCGATCGCTTCACACACGATTTTGCCGAAATTAATTAAAACAATATTAAAAGGAATTTTGAATAAAACTATGAAATAAGTTACAAACATAAGTCTAGATATACAAAGAACACTTTTTATAGCCAGTCAGTGTAATTACATGATTAATTTGCGTACTTCAGTATGGATTTGTTGACATGGTATTTCCGGTGTTACGTGCTCACGGTAATGTCTTTCCATGGGGGAAAAACATCAAAACTCATTAATTCGTGTATAATGCGCACCCCCTTCTACACAGCTGTGTTTTTTTGGGAAAAAGTGTGCACTATACTCAAGAAAATACGGTAATAATAAATTAACACCAAATTTTAAAATATGCACAGTTAGAAATGAGTGAGTGAGTTAGTTGGGCTTAATGTCGCTTTGAACAGTATTCCGGTTACTTCTTGTTTAAAGCCAGAAGTGACACAGTTCTCAGACGTTAACCACTTCGGTGAAACCCATGAGCACGGGTATGGTCCTGACAAACCTAGAAACATAATCGGGGCGAACTGGGATTTGAACCCACAATCAAAGATTCCTGGTGTGCCTTAGGGACGCTACTCAACGAACTGTCGCGCCTTAGACGACTATGCTTGATATAACAAACATTCCAACCCAAAGATTTTACAGTCAAACCTTGATATAACAAACATTCCAACCCAAAGAT